AAATCGATTTTATTTTTTTATTTTTTTAATGGATTAATTCTTTGGGAATCGAAATGCTTTGCATGAGGTATTCTTGAAAGTGTCAATCTCTCTATATTTATCTATCTATATGTATCTATCTATCTATCTATCTATGTATTTAACTATCACTCTGTCTATCTATATATTATCCATATATCTGTCTATATATATATTATCCATATATCTATCTATCTATATATTATCCATATATCTATCTATCTACCATTCTATCTATCCATCTATCTATCAACCTTTCTATCTATCCATCTCTCTCTCCTTCTCTCTCTCCTTCTCTCTCTCTTTCTCCTAAATTACATTGGCTGTTACCCTTGTTTTTCCCCATTTGTATTTTAATTTCCCCTTTGCCCTCATTTCTTTCTCATTTTCTCTCCTCTCCTTTCCAACATCTCTTTCTTCACCTCCCCTTTCTCCTGGCAATTACGATCTTTCTTAATCAATTCCATTCCTTTATTTCTTCCCTTCATATCCATACCACTTTTTTTCATTTCACTATTCCCTTTATTATTATTCTCTTCTACTGTATCTAATATCTCTCCGTTTATTCTTTCTTTCTCTTCCATTCGCTCTCTTCCCTCCTTCCTTCCTCGTCAATACATTCATCAATTCATATTTTGTTACCTCGTTGTATCCCTTCCGCTCATGGTCTCTCATTCCTAAGTTAATGAGTTTAGAAGCAGTTTAATTACAATCGCTGTAATATGCTCAAAGGAAAGCGACTAACCCTTTGACCGGTGAATATGTATGGGGAATGTGTCAGGGAGTGGATACACACACTCGGAAAACCAGAAGAAATCTATATATCTATCTGTCTATCTATTTGTCTGATCAGAAAAAAAGAGAGATAGAGATAGAGAGAGGTATTTGTGTGCGTTTATTATTTCCATTAAAATCTATACATATATAGAAAGACAGACGCACAAACTTACATATATATGTGTGTGTGTGTGTGTGTGTGTGTGTGTGTGTGTGTGTGTGTGTGTGTGTGTGTGTGTGTGTGTGTGTGTGTGCGTGTGTGCGTGTGTGCGTGTGTGCGTGTGTGTGTGTGTGTGTGTGTGTGTGTGTGTGTGTGTGTGTGTGTGTGTGTGTGTGTGTGTGTGTGTGTGTGTGTGTGTGCATGTGTGTGTGTGTGTGTGTGTGTGTGTGTCTATACATATATACACATACTTAATGTCCAAGAAAATAAACATAAAGACAAATAGGTAAACATACGACGAAAGAATACACTCCATGATAACACACGCGGTGAATCAGCCAGAAACCAAATACATTACGCCATACTTTACACTCCAGGATTCCAGCTTTGTTGTTTGAAATATGACGCTAATGTATGATAATGCTGGAGGCGGTAGACGGCGCTGGACCGACGGGGGTGAATACGCGTCGGTTCTTCTGCCGACCTTCGTTTCCCTTCTCGGCCGTTCGCCTTGTGTTGTGGGACACTCGATTGTCTGGCCTACCTGGATTTTGAAGTTGTTTTGGTCTGTATTTGCATATAATTTTGAGTGTTTGTTTGTATTTACTATATATATACACTACTATACTTGTCTAAATGTATTTATTTACTGTAAAGCTTACTTGATATCTTGGATACGGATATTGATACCAGTATTGTTGTTTTCCAGTAATATTATCCATTTATCCCTCGCGTCCGAACCTAGAACAATTTATCCCGTCCGTCCAATATCCGCAGATGGATTTTCAAACACAAACTGATGGAAAAGCTTAGAATCTATCATTAATCACGTATAATATCCCTCTATTTTCATTCCCTGATATTCTCTACATTTCTGTACATCTAATTACATTAAATTCATTTAACCAGATTTCCTATTAGGAAATATTTGAATAAAAGCTTGGGTGAAGATGAAATGAAATGAAACGAATGAAAATGAAAAAAAAGTGTTCACGTTAATGCAACTTCCGTCAGAAAAAGGGGGGAGGGGGAGATAGGAAGGAAGAAAAAGAAAATTCCTTTTTTTTAATATGTGACTTTAATGTTCTCTTTTCTGTGAATTCGATTCATCATTAATTCTCGGTGTAATGAACTGGACGCTTTCGGCAGGAATTGATGACGTTTGCATGCACCCCTGACGTGTGCTTAAAACGATGACGTGTGTCTGAATTTATGACGTGTTGATGACGCGTGTGGGAATTGATGACGTCACTCAACCAAATAACACACCTATTTTAATATCCCAATTGATCTCTCGTTTTATCTTTATTATCTTCATTTTCCTTGTTCATCCATCTATTTATCTTCGACTCTATTCCTATTTATATCCTCATCTATATTACGAGGAAGGGGGAAACTATGGCAAAAAGGGCTCATTTTAGGTCCTCCTGTGAAACATTAGAAACGCAAATTTTCTCCTCATTAGCCAAACCCTCGCAACAATATATCCCGTTACATCCTATCCCGGCGTCTCCTTAACGAGGGCGAGGATCAGACTCCTGACAACGGAATATTTGGACGCAAACTGAGGGGGGGGGGGGTGAGGTATCCTTCCCTCCAAAGATATCAGCTCATATAAACCATATACATATATATACATATACATATATACATGTAAATGTACATGTATGTATATATATGCATAGATAAATATATATGTGCATACTTATGTACATCTCTCTCTCTCTCTCTCTCTCTCTCTCTCTCTCTCTCTCTCTCTCTATATATATATATATATATATATATATATATATATATATATATATATATAACACACACACACACATGTGTGTGTGTGGTATCACACACACACACACACACACACACACACACACACACACACACACACACACACACACACACACACACACACACACACACACACACACACACACACACACACACACCTTATATTCCCTTATAGTCTCTTATGTTCTCAAAAACGGCCGATCTATCTATCTATCTATCTATCTACCTATCTATCTCTCTTTCTATCTCCTTCTCTCTCTACAATACGTGTTTTATTCACATATAATATACTCAACTAAAATCATTCATTTCCATATTATAGCTGCGAGGGTAAGCTTTTGATGCTTTCACACATGCAATCTGGCTCTCCCCCCCCCCTTTCCCCTACTTCTCCCCCCCCTCCCCCCTACTCACGCTGAGGCACACCTGTGGCTCTCTCCTCTTTCTTCTGTGTTGCTTCTTTTTCCCTGGTTTATTGTTGATTGTGTCATCTCCCATTCATTCCCTTTAGTTGTTTTTCTTTCTATCTTTCTTTCTTTTCTGCAAGTAATTCCCCAGTCTCTTTCACTTTGTTTTCCCCTTTTTTTTACTGATTCTAATTCTCCTTGGCTAGGAAGTGGAATAAAGAGAAGAATATCTAAACACACACACACACACACACACACACACACACACACACACACACACACACACACACACACACACACACAAACACACACACACACACACACACATACACACACACACACACACACACACACACACACACACACACACACACACACACACACACACACACACACACAACAAATGCAATTTACGGACTTAAACACATACGTACACACACACCTGTAAACTTTCTCACGCAAGCAGACATGCGGCCTTGTCTAGAGTTCATGCAAGTTTTTTTTTCCCCTTTTTTTTTGCCATGCACATCCCCAGAATACGGAATTAACCTTTAGGATGATATCAGCTGTGATTTAATATTCCTGGAATTTAAGTCCTTTTTCTTTGTGAATTTGTACATCAGGCTCTTTCTGTGTCTGTCTTATTTTGCTGTTTTTTTTCTGTCTCTCTCTCTCTTTCTTTTTCTTTTCTGTTTTATTCTCTCTATTTCTTTTCTTTTCTCTCTGCCTCTCTCTCTTTCTCTCTGTCTCTCTCTCTCTCTCTATCTCTCTCTCTTTCTCTCTCTCTCTCTTTCTTTCTCTCTCTCTCTCTCTCTCTCTCTCTCTCTCTCTCTCTCTCTCTCTCTCTCTCTCTCTCTCTCTCTCTCTCTCTCTCTCTCTCTACACTCGCTCACTCGCTCGCTTGCTCTCACTCTCGCTCTCGTTCTCTCTCCCTCCTTATCTATCTATCTGTCTATCTCCCTCACATATTCCTCCCTTTCTTCCTTCCCTTCTTCCCTCCCTCTCACACTTTTACACAACCTTCCTCCTTCCCTTCGCCAAATTTTATTTCTCTCCCCTTCTCTCCTTCATTCCTTTCTCCTTTCATCCCTCCTTCCCTAATCTCCCCCCCCCCCTCTCTCTCTCTCTCTCTCTCTCTCTCTCTCTCTCTCTCTCTCTCTCTCTCTCTCTCTCTCTCTCTCTCTCTCTCTCTCTCTCTCCTCCCTCCTCCCTCCCTCCCTCCCTCCCTCCCTCCCTCTCTCCCTCCCTCCCTCTCTCTCTCTCTGTAGTCACGTGGTTCCTGCTAACAGACCTCCCTTGCAATCGATCATGCAAACAAACTTTACAATGGCCTCAGACTCTCTTAAACTTGCCCGAGAATCCGAGATGCAAACGCGAGGCCTTCTGGCGTCTTCTAGAACACAATTTCTAGAATTATCCTGGGGCGGTATCCGTGTAAAGGAGATGTTGAGATGGAAGATGCTAGGATGCTGCGTGACTGAGCGCTAGGAAGGTGGGGGGGGGGTATGTTCCGAAAATTGGACGCAGATGAATGGGTTGAGGGAGAGGGTAATTTGGAGGAATTTGTGAAGGATTAAGGGCTCCGAGTGCGTCAATGTGTACTTGAGTGTGTGTGCATGTACATGAGTATATGTATAAATGCATAATCATATCGAAATGTATATATGAGCACAGGTACATATCGGCATACATTCATACATTAATATATATATATACGTATTTATATATATATATATATATATATATATATATATATATATATATATATATATATATATATATATGTATGTATGTATATAGCAAATGCATCAACATAGTAAATACGAAAATACATGTATTAATCAACGTAC